CCCAAGTGACCGTGAGGTACGTCCCTTCGATCAATAACATTTTCGTGTTAGAGATGTATCCTAGTCCTGTTTGTAGTCTGCTCATGGCCTCCTGCCATCCAAGCCCTCCCCTAGTTCATAACAACCGGGTATATAAGGTTAGGAGGCTGGAATTTAGTCTACTTGTGGCATCACTCAAGCGAGATGTGTGACTAAGGGTTCTCCATCATTAGAAGAAAAAAAAAAGTATTATGATAGATATTGTCAATGATAGGCTAACTCCTTAAAATTTTGCAAGTGGGAGAGACATGAAATATAAGTTAAAAGTGTACATCACTAAGCTACATTCTCTCCAAAATTTTCAAGTGAGCTTATTTTATCTTAGGACCAACATCACACATAACATAGCTGCTAGCTACCACATTATTCCAAACTAACTGAATCTTTATTTTCTATAGATTTAGTCAATTTGCTATATATATATATATATATCTAGTATCACATATAATAAGGTAAAACACCCGATGTGAGTGGTCTTCTATTCGGTACAACGAATGATAAATCTTATATACTAAATGAAGTGTTTACCACCGTGTAAGGACATTTTTACGGTATTTTTACAATCGTTTAATCCAGTGCTTGACAAGACTGTCAGATGAACACGAGACGTGTTGTTTACCACGATGACTAGAAAAATGTAAGAGTCTGATTTGAACCGAACCAAGCCATAAGAACCTCGATCTAATAATGAGATAAATCTTATGATAGTATCATCACTGCATTCATTCGATCCGGTTTGGTTTGGCTCAAATATTAATTTTGTCCATCTGTCGTGATTTGCCCCATAAACACACATTCAATTCTTCCACCTTTTTCTTGTTTAATTACTCTCATTCTCTGTACTCCCAAACAACAAAACCTCCCCTATAAAATCCTCCGTCCCCAATCGCCACCATTTCCTCACCACCCAAACTAAAACTTCCTCCTTCCCTTCCCCCCCCCCCCCCCCCCCAAACAAACAAACAAAAAAAAGACATGGCAACGGCGGCGCCGGCGAAATTCCCCACGGTGGACAAATGCGACTCAACAAGGCGGGAAAAGCACACGGCGGTGGCCGACATGGACGGGACCCTCCTCATCGGCCGGAGCTTGTTCCCATACTTCGCACTCGTGGCGTTCGAGGCCGGCGGCATCCTCCGCCTCCTCCTCCTCCTCCTCGCCTCCCCGCTCGCCGCCCTCCTCTACCACCTCGTCTCCGAGAGGGCCGGCATCCAGGTCCTCATCTTCTCCACATTCGCCGGGATGAAGGTCGCCGACATCGAGTCGGTCGCGCGTGCCGTCCTCCCCAAGTTCTACACCGCCGACCTCCACCCGGAGTCCTGGCGGGTCTTCAGCGCGTGCGGCAGGCGCGTGGTCCTGACCGCCAACCCGCGGATCATGGTCGAGCCCACGCTCAGGGATTTCCTCGGCGCCGACCTCGTGCTCGGGACGGAGATCGCCGCTTTCCGAGGGCGCGCCACCGGGTTCGTGAAGGGCGGCGCGGCTGGGGTGCTGGTCGGGGAGAGTAAAGCACACGCGCTAAGAGGAGCGCTTGGAGAGGACTATCAGCCGGAGATTGGGCTCGGCGACCGGCATACCGACGAACCGTTTATGGCGCTTTGCAAGGTTAATTTGTGGGTTGTTTGTTATGTTTGACTTGCATGGTCTGCAGTAATAAGGTTAATGCTTATTTTACTAACTTCTAACAACATTTTTTGGATTTACTTCTTTAAGAAATCCTGTCAATTTAATAGGGTGCGCCTAGGAGAAGTTCTAGTTTCCTCTAATTTTTTATTCCAGGTGTATAAACGGTGACTACTACTACTAGCATATTATTAGGTAGAGATGAACAAAAATCAACTGTAACACGAACGGATCAATCTGTATTTATCGATTTAAATAAAATTTGAAAACTTTACAACGGTTTATTTTTTTGTGAAACATGTTTCTCTTTTAGCTTGTGGAGTTTTGGATTATGCAGCCGTAGAATCCGAACCGACCAATGTTACAATTATTTTCGTAATTGTTGGTATTCAAAAACTTATTTCATATTCCTTTCAAAAAAAAAAACTTATGTCATATATATATAAACATGTGTGAGGAAGTGAGAATACGTTATCATATTTTTCTCTCGTAGTCTCGCTAACCTAAGGTATTTTACTTGAAAATTATCGTAAATTTAATAGTTGTAGTCTTTCATTGTATAGTGCAAAAAACTTGTGTATTTATTAGTGTTGTTGGGTTGGGTTGGTTTTTCTTAAAAGTATAGTCAATCTGGCCTGGCATAATTTTAAGCACACCATTAGCTAGGGTTCTAAATTATTTAGATGAATTTGGATTTGTGTTTTCAAAATTGTGGTATATGAATCGGGAATTAAAATGACAAAATCTAAACCGGTTCACCTTAACAAAATTTTATTTCTCCTACGTTTAATTCAAAAAAAATTGTAATTTCAGTAGGTGGTACGTATGGACAGTGGAGTGACACATGAGCATTAATTTCACTCATTTGTTAGGAAATGAACATTTCATTTTTCGTTTTAAGCGTGTTACCAAAAGGAAACCATAGAAATTTCAAACGCAACGGTCAGCGCAATCGATAACTGAAAACTAATGACTGACTGCAGGAAGGGTTCATGGTCCCACCGGACCCGGAAGTCCGACCCGTCTCCGCCGACAACCTCCCGAAACCCGTCGTCTTCCACGACGGCCGCCTCGTCCAGAAGCCGACCCCGCTCACCGCCCTCCTCACCCTCCTCTGGCTCCCCGTCGGCTTCCCCCTCGCCTGCCTCCGCGTCGCCGCCGGCTCCCTCCTCCCCATGCCCTTAGTCTACCACGCCTTCACCGCCCTCGGCGTCCGCGTCACCGTCCGCGGCAATCCCCCTCCACCCTCCTCCGGCGGCGGCGTCCTCTTCGTCTGCTCCCACCGCACCCTCCTCGACCCGATCTTCCTCTCCGCCGCCCTCGGCCGCCCCGTCCCGGCAGTCGTCTACTCCGTCTCCCGCCTCTCCGAGCTCATCTCCCCCATCCGTACCGTGCGCCTCAGCCGCGACCGCGCCGCCGACGCCGCCATGATCCGGAAGCTCCTTTCTGAAGGCGACCTGGCGATCTGCCCCGAGGGGACCACGTGCCGGGAGCCGTTCCTGCTGCGGTTCTCGGCGCTGTTCGCGGAGCTGACCGACGAGATCGTCCCCGTGGCGATGGTGAACCGGATGGGGATGTTCCACGGGACGGCGGCGAGAGGGTGGAAAGGGATGGACCCGTTCTACTTCTTCATGAACCCGAGCCCGGCGTACGAGGTGACGTTTTTGAGCAAGCTGCCGGCGGAGCTGACGTGCGGGTCGGGGCGGAAGTCGGGCCATGAGGTGGCGAACTACATACAGAGGGTGATTGCCGCTACGGTGTCGTATGAGTGTACGACCTTTACGAGGAAGGATAAGTACAGAGCGCTGGCTGGGAACGACGGGATCGTTGCTAGCTAATTCGTTTTGATTTTGTTAAAAAAAAAAATTTACATGAGAAGTAAATAGTAGTGGTAACGCTGTGCTTTTCTTAAGGAATAATTGTTAGTTGGAGTGGACGACGTGCGTAAATTAGGGAAATTGGTATGGTTGAGACAATAAGTGTTTGAATGGATTGGCGTGGTTACTCAATTTTCTCTTATTCCGGAGAAAAAATATATGTGATGGAAGTTTTATAATGATTTTCGGGTTTTTACTTAGTTACCCAAGGTTAATGTTCTTGATGAAAAGCATGGCTACTTAATCAATAGAGCTATAGATATTTCCATTTTCACTTGTTTCTTCAGAGTATGATATGGGGCTCATCTTATAGGAGTATGTTTATTTTTGACTCTGTACAGTGAGTTTTTTGTATAATTCGATAATTTTATAAATTAGAGAAAATTTGTAGGATGCTTGGATATTAATTTGAGATTTTGTTGGTTTATTTCTGTTTTGAATTTTTTTTCAAACGTGAGTTTTAATTAATTAAAATACTGCACAAGCACTTCTTATTAATTAGATAATCTTGTATGAAACTAGGTTATGAATGGACGTTACAAAATTAGGAACCTGGAATTTTATAAGATGGTTTTAAATTTTATTTGTAATAAAATTTAATAGGAAAAAGGGTTAGATAAGGTGTGATTTATGCTTAATAATATGGATAAATTATTTGATTTACCTAATGTTGGAATTAGGAGTTTTGAGTGGGAAATGATTTTTTGGAAATTTATGAGGATTTTATAAGGTTTATTCAAAGGGTTATTGAATTATTTGAGATAACATAAGTCTTGGAATATGTTGGTAAAATTCTAGTTTTGAGGATTTATTTATGAATTTGGGGAAATTATTTTGAAAGGGGTTAAGGGCCTTTTTTTAAACGGATTTTGAGACTAAGTATCAAGGAGGGAATTGACAGTAAGCTAAAGGGACAAAATTTGAGAAACACTGACTAAAAGAAAATAATTTCGGCTTATAGGATATTAGGATTAAAGGAGCAATTGGATTGTGGGTTACACGTCAAAGGAAATCAAGAACCGTTGTTTGTGAGGTGGGTGGTTTAAAGGGTTAAATTTTACGTCTTACGTCTTTTAAGTAATTGCTTTACATGAAGTTGTGTGGGTGATATATGTGTGTTTGATAAAGCGTGCTCTATTTGAGTTATGATACTGAGTTATATGTTTATGAGCTTTCAATATTTACTTGAAGCTTTTACGTTTATGTTTTACTATTAGTAGTACTTCACCGTAAAATAAGTTAATGTGATAAGAGCAAGAGAAAGTAACAAGTAGGGATAGTTTAACCTCGCTTAGCTAGCCACTATCTTGAGGGATCCTTACCGGATGGTGATACGTTTTGCGGTAGTGGGTCAGGCGTAGTCCGGTGATGAGTTCCATGGTCTCCATTGTCTATGTTTAGTTGTGCTACCAGATGGTGATACATTCCGCGATATACATACCATAGTTTTGACCGGACGGTGATACGTTCCACGGTGGTCAAAACCCATGTGAGGCTCCCCATGGTAAGGGTAGCCATGTTTAAGTAAGTAAGGCTAGTAGTGACATCAGTTAAATCGAGGTAGGGGCCCCATAATAAGATAAAGGATGAAATACTAATTTTTAAGAGCTAAGGTTTGAAGGGTGGAAGTATAAACAACTTCCACAAGTTTTGAGGTGGACACTTAAGGGAAATACCCTTATATGCCGCGAGTTCAAGTAATGGCGTAGACTAACCCCAACTCACTCGCCATGTCATAGAGGAGGAGCAAGGGAGCACCCAGTTGAGGAGCAGCCAGAGAGAGAGCACCACGTGAGCACTACTAAGTATGTCCGACCACATATCCGAGTAAGCAAAGTTTAGACTTTTAGTTATTTGGTTTATGATTACGAGTAATGACTGGAGATTAAGACTTTATGATTTGAGGTTTGCCCAAGTGTTAGGGCTTTGCTTTTGAATTACAATAATTTATTTTCGGTATTGGTATTTTGAGCACAATGTTATTCTTTTTGTTCAAAATTTTAAATATGCTCCGACACAAAACTACTATTCTAAAGCTTTAGAGACTATAGTGTTACAACCACTTTCAAAGGTATGACGGCATGCTTCGTCATGGAAGGATTGGGCTTCAATTGGGCTGTTTAGTTGAATCTCTTTTATATGGTGTGGGATTGAATGAGAAGAAAGGTGAACTTGTGGGCTTAGCAAGTGAGATTTAAATGAGGCATGGGCTATTAGCAATTGAAGAGGTAATTAAGCAAGTTGATGGGCTAATCCAAGGAAGATCAACTCAAGTCGAGATTTTCGAAGTCTTGATAGGTACGAACCTACATGGGTCATCGATATGGAATTCGAGGATCTTGACGGGTTGATCTTTAAGCATGGATTCTCGTATAAGAAAATACCTTTGGATTTTTTAAGTTGTTGTAGTGTGATACCAACGAAAAGAGGAGTAATTGAAGTTTGAATTTGCTAAGGAACCGAATAGTGGGCCCATAAAACTGAAATCAAAGAGTTGGATCAATAAAAGAAGATCTGTGCAAGAAGCTCAATACAATAGATGAAGCATGACTGGAAGAAAAGGAAGCGCAAGAAGTGAAGGTGCAATCCGCGCCTTGACTGATAGAAACCCGATTCTTTGTGTTTTCTATTATTAATTATGGTAAGATAATTATTATTAGGGTTAGTAGTGTTCGAATAGTATTAAGTTATTTATCAGATTTATTCCAGTCGGCAGTCTTTCTTTAGAATAATCTGAAATCAATAGATAGTATTATTTGATTTATCTCTCTTATTCTCTTAATCCTCTTAATCAGTCTCTCTTCTCTCCCTCTAGGCCGTCGGCCATTCTTTTCCTTTTCTGTCACTCACATTTCCTCCTCTAAATTCATAATCCCCAATTATATCCTTCCTATCCTAAATCTCTAATTATTTCCTAGTGAAATTACAATTTTATCAAATCCCTAAAGATCGATGTATTCTGAAATCTCTTAACCTGTACCCTAGACGCCTTATATCACAGAGTGGCCTCGTGAGTTCTGCCATCACAAGTTGCATTGGCCGCTGTGCGCTGTCCTCTGTACACATTCAGTTGGAAGAAGTCGAAGTGATTTTCCATCACAAGGAAAGGAACAGCAACTTCCTCCGCATTGTGACTAGCTAGAAGAGAATGACAGAATTAAGGTGCCCATATCGCAAATTCAACAGACTCCTCCACCAACTCTCTACCCAACCTCAACTCTAAATGTCGATTGCATGCACTAGAGCTTCTTTTCACAGATGAGGGTGACACTAATTAATCTGGATGCACACATTCACACTAGTCGCACGGAAGAGCAAGAATGATTTCCATCTCCAATCTTCCTTCCAAGTATTTACAAATTAAGATGGCTTGTCATTAAGGACATCATGGCAACAGAAATTTGATGCTGCAGCTGCTACTGGAGTGGATCCATACCATACAGGTACACATCTGTTCATTTCACTTGTCAAAGCATGATGCCAGTTCTATATAGGAGCTGCTGTTCTTTGCTGTTTAGTACATGGAAACCAGTTCTGATTCTCTCATTTTTGTTCTAACCAAAAGACCTCAAGTTGTAGAACTTGCTTTTTTTTTTCTTGTGCTGAATGAAAGAAAAAGACTTTCAGTGTGGTGAGTTGGATAGTTGGGAGCCTTTCTCCAAACAAGGCCATTTTGGGGTATGAAAGTATTGAAACATTTGGCTTCTTTGTTTGTTTTGTTTGAGAGGAGTAACAAAAGAACACTCAAACTGTGAGATCCTTGTTGAATTTGCCAAAAGAGTTGGTTGATAGTAACTTTCAATGCTCAGGAAAAGGACACAGAAAGAAACAATAAAATGGATCGGAATTACAAAATAAGGGAGTTGGAAAGCAACAAGAGAACAAGATGAACCTTGTAATTGCCACAAACATGGGAAGAAGTTATATCTTGTATAATATTCCACTTTGGCTTTGGGCTGGCAAAAGCTCTGCAGAGTAACATGTGGATACTGCCATCATGCATGCAGTTGGCACTCAGCCCCAAAACCAAACAAAAACAAGAAAAGAGAATGAGGGTCATATTAAGGTAGGGAAGGAAAATAACCACAGAACAGCTTTTGATTTCAGGAGCTTTGCTTTGGTTATTGACAACTACATTAATTTTAACCTCTTCCTAGTTAGTGTTTAATAAACAATGGTCATTGGTAATAATTGTTTGCAAGTTTTGCTTCATGTACATGTATTTACTGTCTCTCTGAGATTAGGACCACACCAGAAGCATCTTTTGCCCCTCAAAATAAGGGCCCCAAAGAAGAAAAAGATCAAAGGAAAAAAAAAAGGCATGTTTCTGTTGCTCTGGGGCATTCAAATTGACCAGAATATTTAGTTGCTGCAAACACAACAACAGCAAAACAATAATAATAAGCAAAGGACATCATAATTTCAGCACGTTGCTCTTTTTCAGCAAAACACATACTGTAAAGGGCAAGGGTAAAGAAAAGGGAAGAATCCAGGCAGAGATCTTCTTGCTTTTAGGCTCTGGATACTTTAGCAAAAGATCTGCACTCTTTCTGAGCATCAAACCCTCTTTTTTTCATCCAGTTCTTTATGAGTTCACTCCAGGAGATCAACAACAAGGATGGTAGATTGATGCATCAACCTCTCAAGCTACAAAGAACCAACCAGGCATGGGTTCCAAACTCCATTGCTCCCTTATTCTTGCCCTCGCATTCATCATCTCATTCTTCCCATCGCATTCAGAAGCAAGAAACAAGGCTGCTGATCAGGATGCCTGCAACCCGGTCGATCTCAGAAGCCTGGCTGATGTGAAGGCAGGAATCAAGGTCGACACATCTGGCCGCCTCTCCAAGTGGTCTGGCAATGGCTGCTGCAACTGGGAAGGCATTGTCTGCAGCAATGCCACTGGCAGGGTGACTGAAATCCGTCTCCCGGGTCTCATCACCACAGAAGATTCCATCTTCCAGTCTGAGATGAATGGCTTCCTGTCTCCTTCCATCACGTCCCTTTCTTCCCTCCAAGTTCTTGATCTTGGTGGCCTCATCAGTATTGGAGGTATCATCCCGCCATTGATTGGCTTTCGCCTCCCGGATCTCCAAAAAATCTATCTTTTTGGCAACAGGCTCACTGGGTCGTTGCCTGATAGCATAGGTAAGCTCTCAAAACTCCAAGAACTTCAATTGCATGAGAATAGCCTCTCTGGATCTCTCCCTCCAAGCATTGGCAATCTGGAAAGTCTTAACCAGCTGTTGCTGTATTCCAATGAATTCTTCGGTCCGGTTCCTGATTCAATTACCAAGTTGAGGAACCTGGTGGATTTGGATCTCCATGGGAATTCTCTAAGTGGGAAGATACCAGGCAAGATTGGAGAATTGCAAGGGTTGAAACTGCTGGATCTTTCAAACAATCACTTGACTGGAGAAATCCCAGTTTCCATCACAGACCTGAGGTCCATTTCCGTGTTGTATCTGGATACAAATGATCTCCAGGGAGAGATCCCATTTCCTTCAAGCTGTGGGGGGCAAATGTCTTCCTTGGGATTTCTCAGGCTGAGCAACAACAATCTAACAGGAAGATTACCTCCAAACTTTGGATGCTTGGTTTCGCTCCAGAGAGCTGCTCTTGACAACAACAAACTCCATGGACCAATTCCTTCAAGTTTAGGGAATCTTTCAGCTCTGTCAGAGTTATACCTCGGAAGCAATCGATTATCTGGTAAATTACCATGTTCATTAGGCCAACTCTCCAGGCTCATTATGTTGAACATCTCTCACAATAAGATCAAAGGACAATTGCCTCAAGAATGCATGTCTTCCTTGCACAACCTTCAGACATTAGATCTGTCATTCAACCGGTTGAACCTGACCTCATTCCCAAGATGGATAGCACAAATGCCGTCTCTTTCCAGGATACTTCTTGCTGGTTGTGGAATCCAGGGGGAAATTCCACAGTTCTTGTATTCAACTCCAAGTCCTATCCAGGAACTGGACTTGTCAGCTAACAACCTTACTGGCATTTTACCAGGATGGTTGGGGAAACTGACTAGTCTCTACTCGCTGAATCTTTCAAGGAACTCGATTGTTTCAAACATCCCTGATACAGTTATAAACTTGCAATCTCTCGGAGTGCTGGATCTTCACTCCAACCTGATGACAGGCTCTGTGGAGAAAGTTTTCGAGATAGGAAGCAGCTTCCTCGAAGATGGTACTTTGAAGCATATTGATCTTTCTGATAACCAGTTCACAGGTGGAATTGAAAGCCTTGGGTTAGGATCACAAGCTTCAGTGAACCATCTCAATCTCTCGAGGAATTATCTCGAAAGAAGCTTGCCAAACAGCGTAGGGAGACTGATGTCGCTGCAGGTCTTGGACTTGAGCCATAATAATCTCTCTTATGAGTTGCCAGAATCGCTAGGAAATGTCATCTCATTAGAGAAGCTAAAATTGCAGAGAAACAAGTTTACTGGGAAAATTCCAGGAGGGTTTCTGAACCTGAAGAGCCTAGATGAACTTGATTTATCAGATAATCTTCTAGTTGGAAAAATTCCTGATGGTAAGCCTCTAAGCCAATTCCCCAGAAGCAGCTATTCTAGGAATGCAGGCTTATGTGGGAAGCCTCTGGATCCCTGTACTAATTCTTGATTACAAGGGAATTTTGCTTTCTTCAGAAGTTCATAAGCTTTTACTTAGCTTACTCGATTACTTGCTTCGAAAGATTTTCTCGTTGAATTTTCTTTCTTTTGTAATTTGTTCAGCAGTTTAGAGATATGGGTTGGGAGAGGTTTACGATCCATATTATAAATAGAACAATTACATTCTACATATGATACTCGATTAGCGTCCCATTAACTCTCCCACCTCGCCACAGCAGAAATATGCTCTATGCACAGAACATGGAAGTGAACAATTGGAGAATTTTCTCTGAAAGAATTGGAGCGCTTTTTTATTCCATTAAATATGGTGAAAAATTCTTACAGTTCTTCTTCTAAGCACTTACAAAGTCAAGGGAATCTTGATTGATTCCTAATTGATGATAGTTCATATAGTCAACCCCATTTAACCTTATACAACATAAGATCTGCTCTGGCAGCTCTTCAGCCTTGTTCCCCTGTTCAGAACCAAAGGAAAAAATGTATGAAGCAACAATCAAATCCCAAATTCCATAAGAAAAACTATAAGAGATAACATTTTAAATCAATGTCTCGTTACCTGAATCGTTAGGCCAACATCCAGGACGCAGATCTTGAGTCGGTCTAAGAATGCTTCGAAACCTTTCCTGGATATGTAACTGAATCTATGCATATCTATGTCAATCTCCAAGTAATTTTCGCCCTAGCCAGAGAAAATGTACCGATGTTTTTGTTAAACATGGACTACTATTTCCATAACGAATATGTCAAAAAAAAAAACAGCAAACTATGGCTCGCAGAACATGATATCAGTAAGTAAGTAAGTAAGTAAGTAAGTAAGTAAGTAAGTAGGCTTACAGAATAGAACTCATGTTGAGGACGCGACAGAACCGGCTTTTCGTTGTATGCCTGCATAAGTTTCCTCTCTGGTGCACTCAAATGCAGATCCTCTACATTCACAACGCGTCCCAAGATCTTCAACCTCTCTCGAAAGGGCACAATTGTATCTACAGGAAACCCCCTCACTTTCTCAACCTCATCATCAATCAACCGCTGTTTTTCGAACAAGAAAATGTGAGGTGAAGCAATGTCACATGCGGATTTTAAAAAGCCAGTAACACAGCGCAGTGATGGACTTACTCTGATACTGTCCTGAAAATGGGTTGGGAGTTCCTTCAAGTAACTTTCAGAAAGCTTAAAGTACAACACAATGCTCATTCCTTCACCATCAGTCTCGCCTTGAAAAATTGCGGCTGGATATAATGGGATCTGTGAAGGGAAGTTAGGAAAGAAGTAGTATATGCATAATTCCTCACCAACTGAAGGGCGGTATGAAGTGAACATCTTTCTGCCACAGAAGAGGATTCAAAATGGTACAATGAATTGAGAATACCTGAACATTTACAACAAGAATGGATGGGAGCTTCGCTGAGGTGTTAATTACAGGAAGTTCCACAAACTGAGCTATGTGATCAACCTTTCGAGGAGACAAGAAGACATCAACTCCAACTGGATAGTATGCAGCATGATTGGCGGCGAGTTCCTTCTTCTTGTCTCTGCCAGAATGCAAAGCAAAAATGAACACTTCACATCCAAGAATCGAAATTTTTTGAGTGCTCTAGTATTTACCTGAAGTAATTTGGTGCACGAACTTTGAAACTGCCCGGATCGATGTGCGACCAACTATCAGGCATCTTCTTATCAATGGGACAGAAGGGCACTTGTGATCCAGCTATTGGCCTTTGCAGAATAATCTTTGATGCAACTGCAAAGGACAGATAAATATTACAAAGGTGTGGCAAGCAAGGCACTAATGCTAGACGTTTGTTCACCTAGGTACGAGAAGAAGAGGCAAAAAGTACTTACATAAGGGGTTACTGGGATGCCCTTCCTTCCATTTGAATGACATTCTCACTGCAGACTTTTTCCTGGCACTCGGCGGGCTAGAGCTCAGTGATCTTCTCTTCTCGACCGGTGACACGGTGGAAGCAAGGCAAGGCAAACAGTTTCCAGGCAGGATGCCACAGTTATCTAACAGTCCTTCCCCTTTACTATGATTACCAGAATGACTTTCATCCACAGAGACCTCGTCGAGAAACACCGGTTGTTTCGCCTCATTCCCCGACGAATCTCCACCCTTATGCTCCGTAGTACCATGGCCTGCATCTCTACCAAATGTCACACTCGAAAGTCGGCCGAACTCGGACCCAGTTTGAGATAGAACACCTGCAGATGATCAATCGATCGAGGGGTTTAAGAACACCTGAGATTTGGAACCATAGAAGGATTAAGCAACACATTTACAAACCATCTGAAATGCTCTGGAAATCCTCATCACAATCTGACTCCAATGCTGCGATTGTGTCAAACCATGCCTCCTCGATGCTTCCACCTGCAACAAAAAAAGGGAATAGATTTCTAGTTTAGAAAGAGAGACCGAGCAGAACGATACGACAAAATGGATGTATGACCGGTAGAGAAGATTCCACAGAGAATCCGACAAAAGGATCCAAACACTGGAATTGGGAAGAACAGAAAGAAGACTCCGTCGTCACCACATTTTAGTACAATAATAGCCACAAGGGCGAAAAGGGGAATCCAAAAAGTTTTCATCTTTCATAACCTTTTTCTTCAGAGCAACTCTCGACCGTCTAGCATTAAGACCTCTGAAAATGATGATATGGCAGTCTAACAACGCAATGTACCTTTCACAGCATTACTATCAAAACTTCATAACCACATTCTTCAGAGCTTAGATACACAGGAGAAGAAGTAAGAGAAGGGTCTACTGCGTTTACTTTTTGCAAGAAAAATGTGACGAAAAGCAAAACTTGACCTCTACAAGTAATTAAATGACATCAGATGAAAAAGACCATCTCCTTTCTATCACCACCACCAACTATTTTTCTCTAACCAGGAAAAGGAAAAGTAGAAGGAAAGGGAAAGAAAACTTGAAGAAGTTGCCCCAATTTCACGCAAGCAAACTACCCATCCATCCCCCTTATCTCCCTACCAAACAAAATCCAGGTGCCAAAGCCAAACCCACCTCACACCCGGGTGGAAAAAAACATTCATTGGAATCAGGGGAACAGAAAAACAGGGGAAGAAGATAAGCGAAACAGAGCAGAATGCAGGGGAAGAGGGGTGACCTTGGAAAGAAGGGATATGATCGGATGAAACAGCAGCAGTTGCAGCAGTAACAGATGAAGGAAGCGGCGATGAGCCATCCGACAATCTGGACGATGACGACGGGTGCTTCTTCCTCTGCTTCCCAATTTTCTTCCTCTTCCTAGTCTTCTTCGAAGAACTAAATCTGTCACTGCCGCCGCCGCCGCCAACGCACGCTCTCGGAGTCGACACACACCCGCCCATAACTTTGCCGCCCACTGCCTCGCTGCAGCCGCTCTCTGTTTCCTGTGCTGTAACGCCTGCCAAATTTCAGATCAAAAAGCTCTCCCCGTCGCCATTCTCCTCCTCCGTTTCTTGAGACAATAAATAATAAAAGGAAACCCAAATGGAATTACGGAGAGACAGAGAGACGGGGAAGGGCAGAGAGGAATGGAGGAAGTAACCCACTTGTAGGAAATCTGCGCGTCTTCTAGATTTCAAAGAAAGAGACTTTTTTTTTCTTCTTCTTCTTCTTTCTTTTTCCAAAATTGTTTTCTGGTGCAATGCTTCTGAGCAGCAGCAATAATAATAAAGGATGGCAACCTTATGAATAAGTTTTCATTATTTTTCGATAAAGATGAGATCTTTTTCTGTTTTTTCCTTTATCTCTTACTTTATTAGCTCGTTTCTAAAATAAAATATTTTTGCTCTCGTTTTCTGCAGTCAAATCTTCCGCTTATTATAAAGAGAAAAAACAAAAGAAAAGTAAATAAAAAAAGGGGGCGAGGAAGGAGGGGCGGGGGCCGGAGAAGGGTGGGTGGGCGGTGGTGGAGACCAGACAGGGAGAGAAGAGGAGTAGAGACAAACACTGCACTGATTAATTGCCTTTCTTTCCATTTGTCTTCTTTTCTTTGATTTTCTCAATTGTATTAATTTTTTATTTATGCTTGAGTAAAACAATTTACTATAAAATTACCCTTTTCTGCAAATGTAAGAAATGCATACTATTCAGTTTCGGTGAACCTAGTTGGTAAATACTTTGTTTAATACATGCAGTGGGAGCAAGAATTTCGCTTAAGTTAAGTTTGACTTAAAATAAGAATATATAAAAATAATTTATTAATAATTGAATGACTCACGATAATGTTTCATAGTTTGTCAACAAATTTCCGTTTGAGATTGGAGAATTCAATACTAAATTAGGAATTAGTAAGCTCGTAATTAATAAGTCATTCCAGACATATGTTTATGTAAAATCTAGAGTTACTTTTATAAATAGGTAAGGTTACTGTGCGCCACAAAACTCTTTACACTTCAGTGGTAGACAAGTAAAACGTAAACATGAAGTATTGAGATCGAGTATTATGAATTGTGTACAAGTATTATTATTTTTCGGTGTCCTAATCTAGAGCAAAGGTGGGTCCAAAGTGGCTCCCCCACTAAATACACGCATATATGAATGTACGTATTTTATGCGTTTACACTTTACAAATTCCATTTTGGTATTATTTTCGAGCTGTTTTATTTTTGTCCATCCATTTCATGACTTGCATACTAAACACGCATAAAACTCCTATAATACATTTAATATCAGTATTTAATGAATTAAACTAATGAATTCAATATTATTTATATATTTATTTATTTAAAAAAATTAGTTCTATTTATTTCATGATTATCAAAAGTACTATTAGACGTATTATTAGATTAGAGATAATGTTTAGACGTATTCTTATGGAACCTCAATCCTTACTGGCTCAGGTCTATAAAGGTAAATATTTCTCAGGGGGCTCGTTTCTTACTGCCACTCCCCGTTCTCGCCCTTCTTGGGGGTGGCAAAGCATTCTGTATGGTAGAGATTTGTTGGAGAAGGGCTTGCGTTGGCAAATTGGGAATGGAAAAACTGCCTCGCTCCTCCATTCTAATTGGATCCCTGCCCTCCAGTTGGACCCTCCTAGGTTTAATCCTCGAGTCTTACCGGAGGAGGGGGACCTGAAGGTTGAAGAGGTAATCTATCAAGGGGAGGGGCGATGGAATGATCAACTTCTTAGCCAATGGTCTGACCCACCGACTTGCACGGCCATCAAAACTATACCTCTGCCAAGGCAGTCGATTGAGGATAGGTTAATTTGGCATGATTCCCCTGATGGAGTGTTCTCGGTCAAATCGGCTTATCATTTAGCAGTCTCTCTTGATAAGCGCTGGGGGGGGGGGGTTGGAAGTCGGGGGTCAGTTGGATGGATAGGGCGAGCTGGATTCGGCTGTGGGAAGCCAAAATCCCTCCTAAGTTAAAGGTCTTTCTCTGACAAATTCTCAATCGGACTTTGCCTACTACTGAGGCCCTTATTGAGAAGAAGGTCCGGTGCATCCCAGGTGCCCGGTGTGCTGGGCTGACTCGAAGACCATGGAACATCTTTTTCTTGACTGTCCAGTTGCACGGGCCATTTGGGATTATGCTGGGTTGGCTCACTTAGGGGAAGGGCTCCCGCGTTATACTTTCCCCCTATTCCTCAAGCGGCTGTTGGGTTTGATTCATCAACCTAATGATTTTATGGCCGTGGTAGTTGTCCTCTGGCGAATTTGGCGTTCTCGCAACTGGGTTGTCTTTGAAGGCAAGCAGTTTGGGTTTTCTGCCCTGATGCGCCAGTTCCGGCAGCAGTATGAGGAGTGGGTCCGGCTTCCGGTAGATAGGGCTCCCGGTGGGGTCCAGGCTACTCCTACTCACCACGAGACAGTTAGGGGGCATGGAGTTATTTGCATGTGGGATGGGGCTGTCCGGAGTGGGTCCCATTCGGTGGGAGGTTTGGTACTTTTGTCCCCGGAACGGGAGGTATTGCTGGTTGAGGGGGTGCAGTTTCCAGGGATTGATGATCCCTTGGTAGTGGAATTGGTCTCTTTGCGGGAAGCTGTTCTGTGGTGTCAGTCGTTTGGGTGGGAGGACATTACTTTTGAAGGGGACGCGAAGATTATCATTGATAAAATCAATCTTAGGGATGCTCGGGATAGTCGCTTGGGTGCTGTGTTAGATGAGATCATTCATATTTTTGCTGGTAATCCTGGGTTTAGTGTTAGATTTGTAGGTCGGCGTAGCAATAGGGTAGCCCATTTGGTGGCTAGAAAAGCCCTCTCTCTGTTCCCGACTATGAGTCGTTCTTTTGATTACCGGACCTGGCTGGTGTCCAGGGTGTAACTACTTTTTCTTGATCAATATATGATTATCTTTTGTAAAAAAAATAAAAATTAGAGATAATGTAAGGAAAAAACTCATATATATTTTACACGTAGCTGATCGACCATATTTTACTAATTATGATGGTGAGTAGTCACGTTGGCAAGGTATAGTAGAGCAATCATTGTTATCGGGTAGAGCACAAGTGTTACCTTCTAACTATAAAACTGCCAAACAAACTAAAAGTGATCTTGTCAATTTCTAACCGCGCTTCTGATTGTTGTACGTTTGAGCAGTAAACCAAAACAATCATCTAAATTAACTATGCCTGCTTTATTGGTCTTTCTTCAATTGTTGATTACAGCCAAATCATTTGGAGTACTGTATATAACAAGAGTACAACAATGGTTACCATATATGGTTGTGTTTTTTTGCACCTATTTTTTTTTTCATTCAACGCAATCGCCTTATAATTGTCATTTCGAACATGCAATTCATGTCAAAACGGTAACAATTATCGCTTATGATATTATTTATGAACAAGAAGCACATGAATTTGAAAAAAAATTCATTCAAGATTGACTTTAATTTGAAAGATATAGAATTTAAGGGTTTAGGGTTAGGGTTTAAGTTTACAATTTGAGATTTTGGGGTTGAGATTCAAAATTGAAGATAAATGGGTTAGGATAATAGATTGAATAGTATTTCTTCCTTTTTGTTTATGGAATCAAATGGATATGATGAATACTTGTAATGCTATGTCAAAAGGAAAAGAAAATGAAATTGGAAGGTAAATAATTTTTTTTACAAGAAAAAGGTAAATAATAAGAAGCGTTGAAATGTCAAATGTTAAATTATATATCTCGCCAGCTATAAAGTTTAACACGTTGAGTATGTGAGCAAATATATCTTATTTTCTATTTTAAAAAGAAATTATGTATCATAGATTGCTTCGATAATCAATACTATGAAATAATATGATTTGAAGTAGTTAAATTTATTAGCTAAATGATATATGACACCAACAAAGTATAATATGAGATTAGCTAACAAAATAAATCATATGTATCATGATATACAAAATGATGTAGCAAATAGAAGTCAAGATTTTAATAAACAAACTAGCTCGACTCGACTCATTAATAAACGAATCGAGTTTAACCCGAATAAAACTCGACTCGACTAGACTCATTTGCAGGCTGCAGCCCTATCTACTTGCCTCCATAAGGCATATGCCAACTCGCCCACAACGTTTGTTTCTGGGCCCGCCTCGCATTCAGCCAACCCTACTCCCAAGGTTGCTTCGTTAATTGACACGTGGGTGGTCTTTCATTGGCTGTACGTGTGTCATGGGTCCTTCTCTTCTCTGGTCCAAGGCGGACGCTTATTTTGATTTTCATCTGCATTTATAGCGTGGGTGTGGTCATGTGGGTTCTTGAATTGAATTGAATCGAATAGTAAAACGTATGGTGAATATGTAAATATGTAATACTAATATGCATTTATTCGGGTGATGGTAGGAGTGTTAAAATAGTTATCATAAGTAATTATAAAATCAAATAAGTTTAAATCTTATTATATATAGGTTAGGGTGGTTACTCAATTTTGAGTAATCACGGTGGCTACCGACATCTATACCATTCATTATCTTTATTTTATTATATTTTTAAATTAACGTTTAAAATTAGCTAAGGGTAATTTAGGAAATGAAAAACATACCACACCTGATTACTGTATATATTATAATCAAACCCTAATACAACCTATCTACCTAGCAGCCGTCTCTCCCTTCTCCCACCCCCGTCGGCGTCATTCCGCCGGCCAGAACCTTCGCCCCGGTCTCTCCCTTCTCCCACCCCGTCGACGTCACTCCGCCATAGTTCATTATTGATGGACGTTTGGACTATTCCCCCGTCACTATCCCCCCGTTATCCTTCTTTGTCTTTCTCCAGTTTCTCCTTTTCCCCATCACTGATCCATAGCGATTTTCTTCAGCCTCTGCTTCAGTTCAAAGCCATAGTTCACAGCTTTGCTTCATCCCATCCCTTTCCCCTCGTCTCACTAGGCGTTTGGTGTTCTGGAATAGTGAGAATTCCGCCTCTCTTTGCTTCAGCCCAAACCTGAAAACGACCTATGCCTAGGGTTGTTGTCAGACCTCCTGCAATCTTTAAGGATTGGTATGTTTTTTTTTAAATGGTAGTCATTTTTTTCCGTAGTGATTTTTTTTAAATGGTAGTCATTTTTCCCCGTAGTGGTAGCGTTATTGTCGTATTGGTATTGTTTTTGTCGCATTGGTATTATTTTTATCGCATTGGTATTGATTTTGTCGCATTGGTATTGATTTTATTACATTGGTATTGATTTTGTCGCATTGGTAGTGATTAAATCTGCAATGGTATTGATGTTTTGTGAAATGGTAGTGTTTATATTTCTTGAATGGTATTGATGTTTTTGTGAAATGGTAGTGTTTTTATTTCTTGAATGGTAGTTTTCGTGTAATGGTATAAATTTATTTCTGCAATGGTAGTTTTCGTGTAATGGTATAGATTTATTTCTGCAATGGTATTGATATTTTTCAAAGTGGTAGTGTTTGTCTAATGGATTGGTACTGATTTCGTTTTTTTTTTTTTGCAGAAAGATTGAGAAAAATATGGAAAGGAAATCTGGCTGGAGATTACGGAAGTGAGAGAAAGAGAGAATTTTAATTAATAGATTTTTGTAACTACCTTAAATGTAATTTATTAAAAAATTAATTAATATAATTTATTTTTCCATACCCAATTTACCCTTAGTAACCACGGTGATTACTACTTTGTAGTAATCACCGTAACCTGTCCCCAACATCATATAATCAAATCATTCAAATTTTGACGATAACCAATTTAACCATCATCAAGCGAGAAAAAAATCCGGTTAATTTATCAATTCGTAATTTATATAAGGAATAAAAGATAACAATCAACACATATTTGTAGTTAACACTTAACATAAATATATGCAACTAATACAATTATCTTACAATCAATAGAAGTTTTCACCAAACAAAAATATATGTTAATGATATGAGGTTAATGAATTTTTGTGTTTGTATGAATTGACTTAAATTAGTCTCCTAGCAATTATCATAGGTTGAAAAAGACCTTCCTTTCAAAGTTTTTTATCCGACATAATGTATGAGTTTTATCTACATAAAGAACTAGTTGCTGCTGCAGGATGATCATGTGCAGGTTTAAACTCAAACTTACCAGGTTTGAGTTTAGGGGAGAATATGTTAGATCGAGGAGACAATGACTTTGGGTTGGGCCTTGTGTTATGAAGTTGAGTCAATAACAAGCCCATATAGAGAGTTAGTAGAACGTGAGTTAGTCGTGTTGCTAGTTTTTTAAGGACTATATATGGTTATAAACAGATCCTTGTTTTACGTTTGATAAGCTGAGTGGTGGCTTGCTTTTAGCTCCCAACAGTTAAGCTTGATGTATTTAAAGCACTTCTTTGTTCTGTGAATAAAACAATCAAGTTTTCACCTTCTATTGAGTTTACAGGATGAAATGAGAAACATCACAATCAGATTCTCCAGAAGAGAAGGCAACAAGGATTTTTTTTTTCTCAATATAAATGAGCAATGGGTTAAACTCTACCGGCTGTCTTGAATCTTGATCCAAGTCTCCAGTCGAGTAAAAAAATCCAAATGCACCCTGTTTAATTTAACCTTGTGAGGCTATAGTCAAAGTTGTTTTTGTAATCGAGAAAATGAGATCATTGATGGTCAAAATGGGAACCATATATATAGCGTAGCATGTACGACTGCGTCTGGTGAAAACAAACGAGAGGTTGGGAAGGAAATTAATCTGCTCCATTCGCAATCTCAACACATACTTTGCGTCCCAGTCAATGGCATTAATTATGAGTGGCTGGCATTAACCAATAATATATAAGTAGATAAGAAATGACAAACTTCTTGTAGTTGAGAAGACGATTCATTTACACGCACATGTGGATGGATAGTGAGGACTATAGATATGCGTAATCTGAATTTGCATAATCCATTAATTAGATAAATTATATTTGACGTGGTTGTTTATTCTTGTATTTCACAATGTCTTTATTCACACGTAGCGATTTTGGCCCTTAAAAATATTTTAGAGGTTGTTTGAAGAAAAAGAATTTGACATCACTATGAGTTGTTGGTCTCAGCATTGAGCCGGCTTGGTTTTATGTGGAACTTCACTCAAGTCTTGTCGCCTCGTTCTTACTAGATAGGATTGAAATCTCCTCGCATTGCCTCTCTGATCAGGTTTTGATAACACCTCTGATGACCTCAATGGCTCCATACTTAGCTCATTTGTTATTGACTTGGTACCACACTCGTCTCATTACCTAGTCCTTCTCGTCGACTTATTATCCTTGTTATCCATCTTGACGAGACGAGAACTTAACCCCTCTCATGTTTAATAACATCACCCCTCATCTTGTCATTTCGGACCAATTACATTTCATCAGTTTGTCACCCATAGCTAACTTGCCACCAAGACGTCTCGTCGACTTGATACCTTCCGACTTGCCACCAAGCCTGTCTCACCGAGTTAGTATCTTGCCATTTTATCACCAAGTTTTGTCTCATCGGCTTGGTCTCCATACTTAGTTTTGGATGACCTCTAAGTGAGCTTGACACCAAGTCCGCATTGTAAAGTTCTTTACCTTGCCGCCTCGCGAGCAAGCCCGTCCTGTTGGCTTGCCACCAAACTCATGTCATCACCTTGATACCTTGCCACTAGGAGGCTAGGTACCCTACCTCCTTGTTGGCAAGCCAGTGTTGTCAGCTTGTAAGCAAGACCATCTCATTAGGTTAATACCTTGTCAGCTTGGTATCAAGTCTGTCTAATTGGCTTGATCTCCTACCGCCACGCCTGTAAACCCGTTTTGTCAGCTTGATGATGATTGAGCACCTGTCTGATAAGTCCCATCCATTAAGTGTATGTACTTAGTTTTTAGGAGTAAAATCTCATACGCACTAAAGCTCATTGGTCATCGAAGTCCAAAAACGTAATCCAGCAAGG